TCATTCCTCTGTGAGACTTTACTTCCTCTATCCACCTGTCTTTAGGTGTTGTGGGAAATGTAGTTTCTCCCTCTCAGGGCTCCCAAGACCTGGCTACCTTCCCTGTAGCTTTAACTACCCCAGTGGTGGTGGGTGTGGGGTCTGTGTGAGTGCTCAGGTAAGCTTGGGGTCTCCAGGTAAGCAGTCCCGTGTCCCACCCCCACCCCACCCCCGGGAAGCCCGCCTCCTCGCCAGGCCCCCAGGAGTTGCCGAGCCCCCCCCATCCCGCTCGGTTTGGACACCCGCAAGGCCGGCATCGGTAAATGGCACCTTTTTCTCTTCCTCTGGTTGTTATTGGGGGGGGAGCGGGCAGGGGTGGGGCAGGGTATTGTGGTTGGTGAGCACAGTTCCTTAGGCCAGGGCTGGAACCTGGATAGGGAAGGGACTTTTGGCCTTAACAGCCCTGCCTGATCACAGGCTTGCACTCTGGGCCTCCATACTCTGTCTTATACTCCTCAACTTCCCTGAGGGCTCAGGCTGGGCTGTATACCCTGCTGGCCATTGAGCTTGACCTGGAGGACAGAGCTGTCCAAGCTAGGTGGTGGCAGGGTCAGTCTGCTCAGGTAAGGCAGGGTTTTGAGTAGCACGGCACATGTACCTCTGGGCCTAGCCAGGGTCCTTGGAGGCCCCTGGGGAGCTCAGCCCCCACTTCTGTCCCTGCCAGTTCCTTAAGGTCTCCATTCCTGTTCATTTCTGATCTGATGTCTGTTACCTCACACTGACCTCCCTATGAAAATACAGAGAAAGAAAACTGGTGTGGTCTGGGTGTGGAGGGGCCCAGTGGGCCTCCTGCCTCAGCATGGTGTCTAGGGTGCATGCCTGGGTGTGGAGGGGCCTAGCCAGCCTCCTGCCCAGCATGGTGTCTAGGGTGCATGCCTGGGTGTGGAGGAGCCCTCCCCACAGCAGAGGCCAGCATTCAGCTAACCTCCAGTTTCTTTGCAGCAACTTTGGCCGCCCTGGCAGGAGGGGGCTGCTCCATCATGTGGGAGCTGGGGGTGGCCAGGGTGAATGTTTTGCCCCCCCCAGTGACATTTGGGGATGCCTAAAAGGAATTGGAATGGATGGAGCAGGCCCTTCAGGGTGGGAAGAGGGCTGTCTGACTGTTGGTTGCCTGGCTGACTGGTGGGAGTGTGAGTGTGTGTGCAGGTGGATTTGAGGGGAAGGGATGCTGTTGCACGGATCCTTGTCTGACTAGAGCACCTTCTGGGGACTCCCCCTCCCCCACATCTGTTGCAGCCGCTTACAAGCACGCAGATGGCAAGAAGATAGATGGCAGGAGGGTCCTTGTGGATGTGGAGAGGGGCCGGACCGTGAAGGGCTGGAGGCCCCGGCGTCTAGGTGAGTACATTTTGCCCTCTGGGTTCCTGGGCCTATTTGTAGGTCATTTTGCCTTGCACCCATATGTTGCTTGTTCCCCTCCATTTCCAGCTTGTCTTCTCTCATCAGCTTCATGGCTTTAGACACTGGTGCACACACAGACACCTACACATGAGTGCCCAAGCATACCCTGGTCTTTCCTGGATGAGTGATTGACCAGCAGCAACTCTTGTGGGAGTAACTTCAGCACTGACCTCAGCACCTTATGCCTAGTGGATTTGGTATCACAGGCTAGGTTTGAGAGTGTCATTGCCTCTAGCTTTGCTTTTGCTCTCGCTAAATGGCCTTTTCATCTACTCCCTGGCTTCATGTACTCACTAGCCTAGTTTCTGCCTTCACATTTGGAGCAAGAGGGCAGCAGCCTGTCCCCTCACTGCCTTTATAGTTGTCATTGTCTGTCTCCATCAGGGTTGTTATTGTGAGAAGTCTTAAAATACATTTGAGGATCCTGAAGCATAAGGAAAGGAATGTCCTGCTGATGCTGAGCTCTTGTCTCAGTCCCAGGCCCCTGATGTCAATGGACCTCACCAAGAGAACCTTGAGGCTGGGCATTGAGATTGTGCTGCTGTCTCTGTATGTTTGCTCATCTAATGGTTCACTATTAGGCTCTGCCTGGGTTGCAGGTCTTGTGTGCCAGGTGCTCCTCTATCTTGGGCAGCTTTACCTGCCTTTGCTTTCACCTGTGCGCCTGTGCCGAGTTGACGTAACACCTCAACCCCCAGGGGCCTCCCAAGATGAGTTCTTGAGACTTTGTGCTGTGTTGGGAGATTCCTGGAGTCTCAGAACCAGCCTGTTGTCTGACGTACAGACTTGTGAGAGTGTGGGTCATCTTCAGTCACAGGCGGACGTGGAGCCCGTGTGAAGCTTTGTGCAGCACCTCTCCACATGCAGTCACACAAGTATTTTACTACTTGGGTGTAGCTCTGCGACAGGCTCTCAACTTTGAAGCCCAAGGTGATCTTCCTGCCTCCACCTTCTGAGTGTTGAAATTACATGCCTGGCTGTTTATTTTTAAAGAATGAGATGTTGGTTTAACTAGGTTTCTGAGGTTTCAGTCCACAGTCTAACTGGCTCTGTTGCTTTTGGACTTGTGGCAAGTCAGATGTGAAGAGTAGTGAATGGAAGGGACTCAGCTTGTGTATTTCTTTTTAAAGATGTTGACATCCTCTTGTATTGACGATGTAGCCCATTGTTAACTTGTGATCCAGTAGCTGGAGGTCTGGGTCCATCCTTTTCCTATTCCTGGTTTAACATCCTTGCCTTTGACTGACCAGGAGGTGTCTCTGGACACTCTTCTGGTGGGTGGTGCAGGAAACCACAGGCACAGGATTCCCAGCCATGAGCCTTCCTTGTCAGATCACTGGAATCAAGTGGCTCATTAATGGCTCCCCATTTGAAATATGAGTACTGCCTGCTCCTTGGTGCTATTGGTCAGGTATGTGCCACCTTTGTAGACAGGATTAAGTCTGTGCAAGTTCAGGATCTGAAGGGGGTGTCATTGTGGTTTTCTTGCACAGTTGGTGAACTTGAAACCTGTCTGGCCAATGCTGGTGGCCTATGACAATTGAGTGGAGTGGCATTGTGTGTTGAGCAAGGCAGGATCTGAGTTGGTGCTTTGAGACTGATGGGGGAGTACAAGGTAGAGACAAGGAGAAAAAGCTTAACTCCAGGGAAGATAAATGTAAGATTTACGGCTCTTGTGGGAAGCCAGAATACAGCTGAGGAGTCTGGAAATGACAGATCCCCTGGGAGGCAACTGGCTGTGGCAGGTCTTCCAGCTTTTCTATTCTTTGAAAATATAAGGTCTCTTGGGCTGGAGAGATGGCTCAGAGGTTAAGAGCCTCTTCTGGCCTGCTCTTCCAAAGGTCCTGAGTTTAATTCCCAGCAACCACATGGTGGCTCACAACCATCTGTAAGGAGATCTGGTGCCCTCTTCTGGCCTGCAGGCATACATGGAGGCTGAACACTGTGTACATAATAAATACATCTTAAAAAAAAAAAAAAAGAAAGAAAGAAAATATAAGGTAGTCTTGACTGGCCTAAAGCTCATTGTGTAGACTAGGCTGGACTCACACTCATCTACCTGCCCTGTCTTCCCAAGTATGGGATTAAAGGGGTGAAACATTACCTAACTAACCTCTTTCAGCTTTTCTCTGGACTCACACTTTGCATATTGTGCACAAAAATGCAAGTTGTTGGTGCACTAACCTAGAGTCTGAGGCCTCAGGTGAGGTTGGCAAGCTTGGGAGGAATGAAAATTCTTGTTCAGGTGTCTGAGAGCTCTAGCACCTTGTGAAAGCCTTGCATGAAAACAGGCTGTTCTGTGGCAAGGAGACATGGAAATGATTGGCATGGGATTGTGCACCATAGCTACCAGTAGAGATATTTGGGTTTTGTCTGCTATTTAGGAACCCCTCTCAAGTTTGACATTTTTGCTCCATTCCCACTGACCCTGTGTTCCTTTGCTTGGCCCACAGGAGGTGGCCTTGGTGGGACCAGAAGAGGTGGTGCAGATGTGAACATCAGGCATTCTGGCCGAGATGACACTTCCCGATATGATGAGAGGTAAGGTTGGGCACCTGGTTTCTTGGGACAAGACAGTAATGGAGGTGCCCTGCCACACACTGCTAACCTTATCTAGGCCGGGCCCCTCCCCACTTCCACACAGGGACCGGGACCGGGACCGTGAGCGGGAGCGCAGAGAAAGAAGCCGAGAGCGAGACAAGGAGAGAGAACGGAGACGCTCCCGCTCTCGGGACCGGAGGAGGCGCTCCCGGAGTCGAGACAAGGATGAGCGGCGCAGATCCAGAGAGAGGAGCAAGGACAAGGACCGAGACCGAAAGCGCCGAAGTAGTCGGAGCCGAGAACGAGCACGCAGGGAGCGGGAGCGAAAAGAGGAGCTTCGAGGTGGTGGTGGTGGCGGCGGCGGCGACATGGCTGAACCCTCTGAAGCTGGTGATGCAGCTCCTGATGATGGGCCTCCTGGAGAGCTTGGCCCTGATGGCCCTGATGGCCCAGAGGAGAAGGGCCGGGATCGAGACCGGGAGCGACGTAGGAGCCACCGAAGTGAGAGGGAACGTCGCCGGGACCGAGACCGTGATAGGGATCGAGAGCACAAACGGGGGGAGCGGGGCAGTGAGCGGGGCAGGGATGAGGCTCGGGGTGGAGGTGGCAGTGGTCAGGACAATGGGCTAGAAGGGCTAGGTAGTGATGGTCGAGACATGTACATGGAGGCAGAGGGTGGTGATGGGTACATGGCCCCGGAAAATGGATATCTGATGGAGGCAGCTCCCGAATGAAGAAGCTTCCTGTGTTGTGGACATGCTTCTGTTTCGCTGTCTGCCTTCCTAGCCTTCCCACCATGGCTTGTCCTCTGAGGTAGAAGTTTTTTTGTTGTTTTTTGTTCTGATCCCTTGGATTTAAAAATAAAATTAATTTCATGATTAATAGTGGGCACCTGGTGTATTACTGCACTTGCTCTCTTCCCAGAATGTTGTCACTGTACATTGTCCAGCCCCTCTGGGTGTACTAATTCTAGAGCACATGTTGCAACCTGGAGTAGAGGCTGTGCTCAAGTCACCAGGACTGCTTGTCAGGTCAGATAGGGAACAATGAAAGAACAGTAGGCCAAGAGGCAGGGTGCCAGCCAGGATGGCACAGGCGTGTGGGTAGGAAGCATATCTGCTCATAAAGTGTGCTAATGAGATAGCCACCAGCAGTTGAGATGTGCATATACATTCCTAGAAGGAAGACAAAGGTGGGGGAGCTTTGAGTCTGGTGGGCCCTGAGGAAGCAGTGGGTAGCCTGGCGTGGTCCTGAAGGAAGGCTACGGCAGCCATTTAGATCTGACTGACAGACTCTAGTCTGCACACAACCAAGAGTACCACAGATAACTAACTGCCCTAATGGGAAACTTGACACACGTGCCTGTGGATCTCCCCGGGTTTGACTGTCTCACTGTAAAATGCTTAGGGCGGCAGAAACTTGTGAAAGGCATTGGAGGATGACCAGTGGGGACATCAGTTCCTTTCTTAAGGAATTGATACGGCTTGAGTATAATATGGCCTTCACATGGGATATTTGTCTCCAACTATTGGGGTGGCTGTGGGTTTTAAGAGGAAGGACCTGGTTAGAGGAAATAAGTTCTTGGGAATGTGCTGTGCTGTTTCCTGCTCATGAGATGAGAGCACCTGCCTCAGGCCCCTGCCAAGTGTGCGTGGCTGAGTGACTGCACTGAGACCTCTGAAGTGGTGAATGGACATGAAGTTGGGTCTGCCAAGTACTATATATGGTTATTTTTCTGGGGAGGTGGGAAATAGAGCTGGGGACTGACAGACCAAATGTCCAAGCTCTGCTTGGTGAACAGATTCATTGGGAAGCGCTCCCCAAGAGATTCTGTGCAGTTGTAGAGGATGTACTGACACTCCTATTTTGGGGGCATCAGCAATTTGTCCCCATCTCTCAGCTATCAATGTATTTTTTGTGGATGATCATGGTTTTGCCTTCAAAATGGGTGGGAAACAACCACTGTATTCACAGCCTTGAAAAGACTGTAGAAATATGAAACTCCTGTAGGTTTCCTGGAATCTCCTCTTCTGGAGGCGTGGTGAGATTTCAGCAGCCACACCGCCCTGGTGGAGTGCCTCCCACCACACGCCAGGCAGGGTGGCCACTAGGAGACGGACCAGGATAGGAATACAAAATCAAGGATTTAGACCACAGTATTCAGCAGCCACTTGGAATTTCATAGGCTTGTTGGGAAAAGGACTTGTGAGGTAACAAGAAGAGTAGGTAGAAGATGCAGGGCCACTGAAGCAAAAGCAGAAAGTAAAGAATTAGTTGTTTCAGTTTCTATGGCAGTCTCTGTAGCCCTTGCTGTCCTGGAACTCACTAGATAGACCAATTAGACCAGGCTAGCCTCACAGAAATCTACCTGCCTTCTTCTACCTCTTGAGTGCTGGGATTAAAATCATGTGAGCACACTCAACTCTGAGGTTCATGGTTTAGTAGGTGAGCTGGGCGTGATGGCAGAGGCAGGCAGATCACATGACAGCCCAGTCTACTGAGTTCCAGAACAGCCACATCTACACAGAAAATTACCCATATTTGGTGTGTGTATGGGGGGAGGGGAGTATTTTAGTAGATGGATTTAGGAATTAGTTTAGATACCAAAACACCCAAATTTCTTGTCATGAATCCCGGAAAGATGGAATTGGATAAATTTAATGAAAACTCCTTTTGGCTTAGGAATTGACTTAAGTGAATGAACGAAGGATTCAAGAAAATCAATTCAAAACTGGCATATGCCTTTAGCACTTGGGAGGCAAGAGCAGGCAGATCACTGAGTTTGAGGCCAGCCTGGTCTACAGAGTGAGCTTCAGGACAGGCTCCAAAGCTACATAGAGAAATCCTGTTTGGGGGAGAAAAAAAAGACAAATCAGTACAAATGGAAGTAGATGGCAGTTCCTAGAGAAGTTGACCCAGGCTGGCAAGATGACTGAAATTTCCAACTTGGGGAATTATAAAAAGAAAAGGGGCTAGAGCAATGGCTCAGAGGGCTCATAACCATCTATAATGAGATCTGGTACCCTCTTCAGGGGTGAAGGCTTACATGCAGGCAGGACACTATATAATTTTTTTTTTTAAAGCCAGTTCTGGTATGAGAAGATCATGAATTTAAAGTCAACTGGGACAAGCAAGTCACTGCCTTAAAAAAAAAAGTAACTACAATTTCTGTTGTGTTTGAGGCTTGGAAAGAGCTGAGGATGTAGGGTAAAGAATGGAAGTTTGTAAAAGGTACCAACAAGCAAGGACCTCTTGAAATAGCATCTCACAGCACAGCTTGAGCCCCACACTAAGGATGTCACAGGCAAACATGGATTAAACCAAAAGCTGTGACCACCTAGGCATTCATAAGAGGGCACTGACCTCCATGTGTGCTGTGCTGGGCCATATACACAAAGTCATAAAGTAAATTTTAATTTGTTTTTGGAGACAGAGTTTCTCTGTAGCTTTGGAGCCTCATCTGGAATTTACTCTGTAGAACTTTACTCTGTAGAACTTACGATCAGCGATCACTTCCTTAGCCAAGGGGTGGCTGTTCAGTTTTTTGCTAGTCCCTGCTACTCAGAGTGGCTCAAAAGGTTAAGGACAATACTCTGTCCCTCAGCTAAAGACAGGAAGGCAGAAGCTAAGCTCCGTAAAAGCTTCTGAAGCAGGTACCTGGTTGTTTGGTTCAGGTTGCTGCTTTTGAAGCCAGGCATGGTAGCTGAAACCTTAAATCTTGGGAGGCTGAGGTAGGAGGCCAAGGCCATCTTTGGCTCTCTGATGAGATGGGTAGTTAGGGAAGGCTCAGTGACGTCATTGACATTGCTACTATTGTGAGTGCTGTGGTGGAGAGACTGCCCTTAAACACACCCTTTTCTGACCACATCCCCACCCCACTAAGCCAGAATCACAGCCAACAGCCATCAGCAAGCCACATTGCATATCAATGACCACCCCTCTTTAAAACAGCCACTCTTCTCCTGCCTCCCCGCCTAGCTTTCCTCCTACTCCCCCATTCTTTCCTTGTTCCTGCACTCCTCTCCCCTTGTCTTAACACGAGAGACAGCCAGCAGCACCTTCTGGCCTCCAGTTCCCAGGCCCCTTTCAGACATCACAGGCCCAATAAAACATCTGTAGTCTAAGCTGGCCAACTGATGGTCTTCCTGCCTCCACAGGCTGGGATTCCAGAAGTGCACCATCACACTGGGGTGTGCAATACTGGATCCCGAACCCAGGGCCTCAGGGCCTTCTGCTTGCTAGGCAAGTACTGTCAGCTGAGCTACGTTCCCAGCCACAGCACAGTCTTCTCAAGTTGAAAAGATCTGCATGCACTCCACACAGCCACCATTGAACAAATGGTAGCCTGCACACATTAATACTCCCATGCACCTCTCGACCCAAACAGGCATGTTTCACATTAGTCTACCGGTCTCCTGGCCTCAGCTTATTGCGACAGCATCCTCCCTCCTGCCACTTCTGCAATCCAGACTTCTTGGGTGCCCCCAGAGATCTTCAGCTACACACTTGACGATCCTATGTCACTTTTGGGGATTTATATGAAAATACAAATCCAACATGTAAATGACAATACAAGTCCTCTCGTGCCATCATCGTGATTTCCCAGCCTCTTGGGCGCTCTGGGTGACCTAGGCCTTATGGCTCCTTGACTTTCTCTTCCAAAAATCTCTGTGAACTGTGAAGGTTCCTGGTCAGGTCTGTTTCTGTGTCTCTGTCAGTCTCTCTCTGTATAGACAGGGTCTTGTGTATTCCTGGCAGCTCTGAAACTCGTTATATAGATGAGGCCTGCCTTTAAAGCCTCTGCCTCCAGAGTGCTGAGATTAAAGGTGTGTGCCTCCAAGCTCCGCGCTGTGTGTGTAACCGAAGGTGACCTTGCATAGAGTTCTGATCTTCCTGCCTCCACTTCTGAGTATTGGGACTACAGGCGTGCACTACCACCCGTGACTTATGCGCTCCTGGGTATGCGACCCAGAGTCTTGAGCATGCTAGGCTAGCACTCTACTGACTGAGTTACATCTTCAACTTCAGATTTCATTGTTCTGGTTTCTGGATACGGGCTCTTGGTATGTATCCCAGGCTTTCTAGTCACAGCGATCCTCTTTTCCCAGGCTCCTGGAAAGCTGCAGGCCCTGTAGCGGGTCCTGCAGAGCCCTGGAATCCTGAGAAGCCACGCCCCCTAGACTTGTCAGTGTGGAAATGAGGGGGAACTACCGAAAGGGCACAGATATGCCCTAAGGAGCAAAGCAGCACACCAACATTGTAACAGGAAGATAACAACCAGAATAAACCCATGCAATCATCTGGTAGTGATGTGGCACAGGGAGCTAGGCACGCGGAGGACGAAGGTCTCGCAAGTCCCCCAAGTGGGAGGGGCCCCTGCGTGGCACCGCCTCAACGTCAGTGGTGAGGGCAGAGGCTCGAACTGCTGGTAGCCATGTGGGCGGGGCCTCGCGGTGCGCCTCCTTGCCGGCACCTGGTGGGCGGGGCCTCGTGCGGCACCTCCTCCTCGCTGTCGCCCGGGCGGGTGGCTTGCGTTGGCCGCGATATGGCTGCACTGGTGGAGCCGCTGGGACTGGAGCGGGGTAAGCGCTCGGGGGGTCCAGTCCGGTTTCTAAGCTCGGTGGGCCGCGCCAGTCAGCTGCCGGGGGACAGGCGTAGTCAGGGTGGGCGGGGCGCGACCTACGGGCGTGGGAGGGTCTGGGGCGGAGCGCACCAACAACACCCCGCCTGGGGTTGGGGTCCAGGGGACCGGCAGGGCGCGACAATCGCTTCCAGCCTGACCTCGGTCGTCCTTCCTGCTGACTTCGCTGTTCTTACTGCGTTCTGCAGACGTGTCCCGGGCCGTGGAGCTGCTGGAGCGGCTGCAACGCAGCGGAGAGCTGCCCCCGCAGAAGCTGCAGGCCCTGCAGCGGGTCCTACAGAGCCGTTTCTGTTCTGCCATCCGTGAGGTGAGCACCTTGGAACTGTGTGAGTTGTAGTTTACTAGCGCTGGTCGGCGGGGCCCGTGACGGGCAAGTGAACGTAGACAATTGTGTCCAGGGCTGTGAACTGGCATCTCCCTGATGCTGCCGCGTCCCCCACCCTCCAGGTGTACGAGCAGCTCTATGACACGCTGGATATCACTGGCAGCGCTGAGGTGCGGGCTCACGCCACAGCCAAGGTAGGCGCCTGTCCCTGCAGCTCTAGATGACCACGAAAGGCACAGTGCCCTCCCAAAGCTGGTCGTTCATACGCCTTCCTTCTCATTTGCGCATCTCTTACACCATATGAAGATTTATTTATAATGCCCTTTAAATAACTGCACATTTTTAACTTGAATGCACATGAGATTCTCTTTAGCAACAGGCGAGGAAACTGACCTCACTTTTCTGCCGTAAAGATAACCCTAAAAGACGATCCAGTTGGATATCGTGAACAGGGACATCTATCCAAACTGCAGTGCCCAACTCTTCTTGTTACTGTCAGCAGACTCAGTCCTGTCCCCATCTGACCCCCAGGGTGGGGGCTAGTTTGTCTGAAAACAAGATTGGCGGGTGCAAAATACTGAAGACATACCTGGCTTGTGGAAGAATGCAACTGTTCTCACAGGTTTTAGTCACCTGGCAGGAGTCCCCTGCTTGCCCTTTGAACCCTGGCTGAAGTGCCCCTTTCTCAAGGGGCCAGGGTCTCTCACATCAAGGCACCTTCTCTCTTCCAGGCCACAGTGGCTGCCTTCACAGCCAGTGAGGGCCATGCACATCCCAGGGTTGTGGAACTACCGAAGACTGATGAGGGTTTGGGCTTCAACATCATGGGTGGCAAAGAGCAGAACTCACCCATCTACATCTCTCGAGTCATCCCCGGAGGCGTGGCTGATCGCCATGGTGGCCTCAAGAGGGGAGACCAGCTGCTGTCCGTGAATGGCGTGGTGAGTGGGGCCGCACAGTGTCTGTATGGAAGCTCCACACAGGGAGCACAGCTTTTGTAGACACTGCTGGCTCTTAAGGACTTGAGAGCATGCTAGGGGACCAGTCCAGTGTAGAGGATGGAGGGTTCTATAGGAGGAACCTTTGGAGTGGATGCTGAAGGATGGGTAATTCTCAGGACTCAGAGGCGGTTCTGGCTGAGAATGGATAGGGTTGGTAATTGCACTCCCCTGGCCTGAGGAGAAAGGTTGGCTCTGATAGAAGTCTGAGCCACCCAACATCCTGAACCCTAGTAGTTAGAATCCTAGAATCACCATGGAGGAGGTAGTTTGGCCAGAAAAGCTGGGCTTTTGTTACTGGGCTGTGAGAACAGTAGGCTTAGGGAATGTCAAGGCCTCTCCAGGATCTGGGAGGACAAGAACAGGTTCCATGACCTGCTTCATTGACTAGGACTCTAAGCTGTACTGACATGACAGGTTTTAGGGTGCAGGTGCTGAATCTCAAGTTGGTAATCCACTGGGGAGGGGATGAGGCCCTGGAGACTTGACCCTAGCAGTCTTCTCACTATCCACTGGTCCCATGTCCTGGGTAGGGTGGTAAGGGCAGCGGTTTGGGTCAGCAGTCTGTGCGAGGCCTGCCCTGCAGAGTGTGGAGGGCGAACACCATGAAAAAGCCGTGGAACTCCTGAAGGCCGCCCAGGGCTCAGTGAAACTGGTGGTGCGGTACACACCACGGGTGCTGGAGGAGATGGAGGCCCGCTTTGAGAAGATGCGATCTGCCCGGAGGCGCCAGCAGCACCACAGCTACACGTGAGCCTCGCGCCCACTCTCCCCCTGCTGCCGTCCCCAGCCCCAGACTCCCAAGCCAGGCCGGTGATCCCGGTGGTCCTTTATCCCTGGCTCTTCACAGGGGCTTCTTGACCCTTGACCCCTACCATGGTAACCAAGGCCCTGGGACTCTGGCTTCCTAATCTCAGAATCCCTGTGTCTGCTTTTCTGAACCGTTGTTTCCAGAACCTCAGCCTTAAACATCTCATGCCCCACTGAACCTCCTCTGAGCCTGAATTTGCCCTCTCCACATCCTTGCAGGTCTTTGGAGTCCCGAGGCTGAAATCAGAGAGCAGGACCCTCCACCTCCCCTGTACAGTATTATTTATTGTCACTGGCACCTTATTTAAAGATCTTTAACCCTCACCAAGTGTCTTGTGTGTCTGTCGAGCATCCTGGAATAGTGTCTGTGGAGGAGGAAGGTGAAGCTGAGGTTAAAACCAAACTCTTTGCAGTATGGGTAGCGAGATCGATTCTGCTCGAGCAGCACTGAAGACTGGGGTTGGCCGGCTTCCCAGAGACTAATCGGGCCCAAGGCTGCGTCTAAATGAATGCCAGGGCGCACTACTGAAGACCACTGTCCCCAACACTTTAGAGGTTAGGAAGGAGAGGAGGGCTTGGTAGGGTCTTCCGCTGCCGGTCGGGCGCGGGAGTCTTGAAACGCAGCAGGAGCTCTGCCTCTGTAGGCGTGGCGGAGCGAACCATCCGCTGGGGGAGCCCAGCGGGCCGTTCCACCGTCTGAGAGGGAGTCGGTAGCGGGGCGCGTGCAATTCCCCAGACGGGCGCAGGGGTGCGGAGTACCAGGCACTCACCACCCGTCGGCCACTTGCCTCACCTTTCAACCGAGCACATCCTTCCGGGAGCCGCCCTTGCCTTTAAAAAAAAAAAGATTCCCACTTTGAACGTTGAATTCCCAACCCGCCACCCAGCCCTCCTGTCCCGTGAGAATGCGCGCTGCCGCGGGAACACGGGTTCGCGACTAGCGCTCCAGGCGCGCTACAAGATTCAGGTGACATCATCCTCTGCCGGGCTCCGCCTCCATCCCAGGCCGCCGCACGCTGCATAGTTATTGGTTGCTGCACCATGAGTCCCTCCCCCAGCTCTCCGCCCGCGCGGCCCCTCCTTCTCGATGCAGAGGCGGGGCCTGGTCACCGGCCGGCACGGACGCTAATTCTCATTGGCCACTCAGCGCCGTCTGTCAGTCTTCTGTTAAAGGGGCCACGACCGCCTGGGATCTGTTGGGGGAGGGGGAGGGAGGAGAAATTTTTGGGGGGGAGAAGGTGGGATTGGGGGGGCGCTGGTGGGCACCCCTGGATCTGGCGACTGCGGCCTCGCGGGGGGAGGCTGTACGGTGACAAGGGCAGGGGGGCTATTTTAGGGAATAAGAAGGCTGTGAGACCGTGAGGGGGAGGGGGGGTCCCCAGCGCCGAAGCCGGAGCAAGAGACGCTGAGCCCGCGCTAGCGGCGTAGACAGGGCTCCAGAGCTCCAGATCCGGGCCCCGGCCGCCGCCAGGGGCCCCACCCGGTGCCCCTACCCCATCCCGCGTCCCTACTGCAGCCCAGCTCCTCCCGCAGTCGCCGCGGATCAGGTAGGTAAGAGCCCGGCCCAGCCTGCCCGGCAGCGCCCACCCCGGGGACCCCTGGGCTAGCCTCCCCCACTCACTTGCTCGAAATCCTGCATTCCCATCTACATCCCAAGGGAACCCAGAGTCCAGATTTCACAAGCCAACCCAGGAGAACCAGGCGTGTCCCTTCTCGGAGCTCAGAGTCCCCAGCCGAACCCTGGTATCTCAGACGGGTTGCCTCCTTTCGCCTCCTCCAGGGCCCAGAAGCCTGAATCCCTCAGCTCAGGCTTAGTCTAGATCCCCCCTTTGGGCCCAGTCCTGGGAGCTCCAGACACTGGCCACCGCTGCACGGCTACCTCTATTGCTTCCGAATCGTTCCCCCATTTGCGCCCCCACCTTCTGGCTGGAACAGCCGGCAGCGTTCCTCCGTCCAGGCCGGCTCGCCCTGGAAACAGGCCGGCGTTGGAGCTGTCCATGGTCAGCTCTCTCGGTAGCCTCGCCTCCCCCTTCTCCTGCCACAGCCGCCCAGAAGGGGGTGCAGGCGGCGTGGGGATCCCCCTAACCGCGCCTTTGACCTGGGGATCCCCAGAGCCCCACCACCCCTAGCTGGGCAGCAGGGTTTTCATGTTTAGGCACCCTAGCTTTCCGGGACTCTGGCTGCTTCACTTCAGGGCTTTTGAATGTCCCTGCCTCGGACGCTTTAGAGACCTTGTCATGGAACCTCCAACTCCCACCTGGTTCTGAAGGGCTGTTGGTACCCAACATCTGCTGATCCTGAGTAATCGCCGTCACCCTATTCAGCACCCGGGGAATCCAGTTTCCCAGGCTTTGCCCACCCCCCTCCACTTAGCACCTAGTTTAACAACCCTCCCCCCACTCCCCCTTGTCAGACAAATGTGCCCAGTCTCCTGATACACCGGCACCTGCTTACTGCCTTAGGGACTCAGGCGCCATGAGTTCTCTTCAAAAATCTGGAATGCAACTCCTCTGCTTCTGTCCTCCTTTCTTCTGGGAGATCTAGGTGTCTCACCCCATCTCGTAACCCCCATTTAAAGAAATACATCCTAGGAACCCAGTATCTCAGACCATGACAACTGTCCCGTCCATCAGATCACCTGCCCAGCCCTACACTCCCATCAAATATTCAGGCTCTAAGTCTGTAACACCCTCCACATGGACTCAAAGGTCTGGACCCCAGCCTGGCTCTCCACTCTATTCCCATCTTCAGGTTTTTGTGGCCCCGCCGTTCCATCAACTTCACTTCTTCCATGGCCTTAATGAACTCATCTGCCTGTCATCTCAGGTGCTAGACTTGCAGAGTCTCCTCTCCCACTAAAGCTGGGTGGTTGATGTATTTCTGGCATCTCATTGCCTCTAGAGACCCATATGGTGATGTCTGATATCTCATACTCCAAGTACCAAGCAGCCATCCCTTCCTCCCAGTGTGTTCTGTGGCCAGGGTTCTTGACCTGGAACCTACTCACCATCTTCCTGCATTTCTAGTTATAATGAATCCTTTCCTTGTGTTATGTTCCTGATTCCAAGTTCCAGAGCATTTCCAGATGGTACATCTATTCCATCCTCATCAAGGCGTGATCCGCATTCTATACCATGTGCTACATTCTCGGCATGTCTTTTGCCACTTGCTTCTCCCCATCCCCAACGAGCAGGGTTGTGCAATGTAGCCTATGTGCACATTTCCTTTTCCTCTTCTTCTTCCTCTCCCCCTCCTCCTCTTCTTCTTTTACTTTTTTCTCTTCTGGTCTTTTCAAATACCTAGATAACATCCCTATGTCAATTTCTGCTCTCAACCTTCTCCTCAGACATGTCCTATATTTCTAGCAGCTGGGGCTGGGGGTATAGCTCCGAGGTAAAGCACTCGCCTCATGTGCCCAAGATCCAGGGTTCGATTCCTATCACAAGACCAAATAGACAAAAATATCTTGCCCCACCACCACCCCTTCAAATAATCTCAATGTAAGGTCTCCAGTGTTTTCATTTTAGATGTGTTTTATGTTCTGGTCATGTCTGCCCTTGTTCTAGAGCTCCTTCTCACCCCATGGATATTCTAACTTGTAGAATGTGTTGTTTTCAGTTAAATAGTCTAGTATTTATTAAATTTGTGCTATTTATCTTGCACAATCTTTTAAAAATGATTTATTTTACTGAGCAGTGGTGGCTCATGCCTTTAATCCCAGCACTTGGGAGGCAGAGATGGCACATCCCTGTGAGTTTGAGGCTAGCCTGGGTTACACAGTGAATTCTAGGACAGGCTCCAAAGCTACAGAGAAACCTTGGGAAAAATAAAAAAAAAAGATTGGTTTTTATGTGAATTGATGTTTTTCTGTATGTATGTTTATGTGAGGATGCCAGATCTACAGGAACTGGAGTTAAAGACAGTTGTGAGCTTCCCTGTGGGTGCTGGGAATTGAACCCAGGTGCTCTGGAAGAGCAGCCAGTGCTCTTAACTGCTGAACCATCTCTCCAGCCCTTGGAGCTTGCCCAGTTTTAAACCTGGAAGGTCCCAGAACAGTCTCCTTCTTGTCTTTTCAAGTCTCAGGTTCTAGGGCCTTGTCCCCTCAATCCCCAGCTTCTTTCCTCCCCTTACTATGACCCTAGCTCTGGTGTCAGACTTGTCCCTGGTGGAACATAGGTTTCCATCTCCACCTGCTGCCTTGGATTCTAAGTCTGTTCTCACTCTGCTTTTCTAGAGTCTTCAGCCTCAAAAATGTTCTTGTGTCCTGAACACCCCCATCCCCATTAGGGGATCTTTTTGTATCCCTGTTATTTCCTACACTTTGTGTTTTTTTTTTTTGTGTGTGCACACATGCCACAGTATGAGGGTGGAGGTCAAATCACAACTTGCTGGAGTAGGTTCTTTCCTTACACCATATGGGTCCCAGAGAATCAAACTCGGGTTCTCAGTCTTGGTAACAAATGCCTTTGCCCACTGAGACATCTTGCTGGCCCTGGTGTGTGTGTGTGTTTGGAACAGGATTTCCGCGGGCTAGTTTTTGTTTTTTATCTGTTTGTTTGTTTGTTCTATTTTTTTTAAATTAATTTATTTATTATGTATGCAATGTTCTGTCTGTGTGTATGTCTGCAGGCCAGAAGAGGGCACCAGACCTCATTACAGATGGTTGTGAGCCACCATGTGGTTGCTGGGAATTGAACTCAGGACCTTTGGAAGAGCAGGCTCTTAACCGCTGAGCCATCTCTCCAGCCCCGTTGCTTGTTTTCCAAGTCCTGGCTGTCCTGGAACTCACTCTGTAGACCAGGCTGGCCTAGAACTCATAGAGATCCAGCTGCCCCTGTCTCCTGAGTGCTTGGATTAAAGATGGGCACCAGCCAGGCAGTGGTGCAAGCTTGGCAGTGGTGGCGCATGCCTTTAATCCCAGCACTTGGGATGCAGAGGCAGGTGGATCTCTGTGAGCTTGAGGTCAGCCTGGTCCACAAGAGCTAGTTCCAGAACAGCCAGAGCTACACACTAAGTTTCAGAGCAGGCTCCGAAACTACAGGGAAACCCTGTCTTGAAAAATCAAAACAAACAAACAAACAAAAAACCTCAAAACAAAATAAAGGTGCATCATTACTGCCCAGCTCCTCCAGCTGGTTTTAACTTGCCATCCTTCTGCCTCACCTGGGATCAGCTGGGGGCTTGATTTATATTTTGTGTCCATGCATTCATGCTGAGCAGGCTCTGAGTTCTGTATCTTTACTGTATCCAGATTTACCATGTCCTGCATTAGGGATGTCCCTTTGTGTCATTTTGCTCACCTCTGTGTTTTGGGTTCTTGTCAGGTTGTCTTGGACTGATATTACCTTCAAAACCTCAGTTGTAGCATAGGGCCTGCTAGTTAGCAAAAAAGCAGCTCTTGTGGTCAGTTCCGGGCTCAGTGTCTTGTCTTTAGTGTGGGATGTAGCATTTTGAGGACACTGATTGTCCACTTTGTTTCTTTTAATGATCTATTTCAATTTTATGTGCATTGGTGTTTTACCTACATGTATGTCTGTATGG